CTATCTCTCTCTTCTACTTCTTCTTCATCTTTCTTTGTCTTTTTCACTCTTTTTTACACACATTCTCCTTCTCCCCACGCTCTCTGTTATTTTTCTTTCCCCCTTCTCTTCCCAAAAGCACGCACATTTACTTTCTCAATTTCTCTTCCTCATCGTTCCCATTCCTCTGTCTGTCTGTCTTTCTGTCTGTCTGTTTGTCTTATCACACTTGCACATAGTTTCACCCCCACCTCTCTCTCTATCCCTCTCTCACCGTCTCTGCCTCTCTTACCCCCCCCTCCCTCTCTCTTTCTCTCTCTCTCTCTCTCTCTCTCTCTCTCTCTCTCTCTCTCTCTCTCTCTCTCTCTCTCTCTCTCTCTCTCTTCCCTCTTCCACTCAATCTCCGCCTTCCCTATTTTAACCTGTCCCCTCTCCTACGCCCATGTAACTGATTTCTCTTTATCCTCCTCTCCAATTTTCTCTTTTTTTAATTATGCCATTACGTTTTTCCAGTAATTCAAGTTGAAAAAACAACAAACCAAAACATTACTTCTTGACACAAAGTGTGGGCTCAGTATTGAACTAAGACAATTAAACTTGTAGGAAGTCTGGAACTGTATTTAAGTATCGATTTTCCAGCGAGTCTTCTGTATTCCAGGCTTTCTTCTCTTATAACAAGCTGCATTAAGTGTTATCTTTCTTGAAAGTGACTACAGTTCCGTCTCTCGACATCTGGACCACCACTTCCGCTTGTACCGTCGGTGTTTGCTCGGAAACAGCTATGCTGTGCTACTTTAAATAACACACCACTCTTTACAGCGTACCTTGAGAGGTGTCATCTCTGATTTAAAAGAGTAGGCTACTGAGTTTCAGAGATCCTGTGATGCCTAGAACGTAACTCTCCTCTGCTGTTTGAACGGTGCTATTAACGATATCTTTCACACCCCCACCCACCTTCCTCCTGATCCCCCCTACCCCAACGACCACCCCCTCCCACCCCTCAAAAAACAAAAAAACAACAACAGACAAACAACCACACCCATGCCAACCCGCCACCCACCGCATGCACCGACGAATCCATCTCATTTGCGACGTAAGATATGTTATGGTACATAATTTAACTCATAATATGAAACAAAGTTTTACACAATGACATTCGCTCAGCACATCATGACAGATTTTGCCGATTACGTTTAGGCAAGGTGTAGAAGAGGCAATGCTATGATTATACAGCCTATGCTCCATCTCGTTAAGCATATTTCTTTAATCCCACCTCTTTCCCTCCCCCCGCCTCTCATTTGTTTAGTCTAGATTTTTTTTATGTCAAGTAAAATGAAATTGGCAAGTTTGATGGAAAGAGAGGCAGAGGCAGACAGAAGGAAAAGATACTGGACAAGATGACAACATGGCTAGGAGCAGCAAGAACAACAGACACCATTGCTGCAACGCAAGACAGAGTGAAGTGGGGGTCCATAATCGCCCACGCCAGTCGGCAAGGCACCGGATGATGATGGAAATGAAATAAAATTCTCTGGAAGACTTTTTTTTCCAGAACTAGCCTCCTTCTTTTCACTGTGAAGGTGATTCTCGAACATCACACCCACGGAAATGGACTTACATGTAAGTCAAAATAAAGTAGTACATTCTCAAAATAAATAATGCCTACACAAATTTATTCCTGAGTTTGCCTGTAACACTCTTCAACAGAAGAAAGGCCATTACGCTGCTATACAAAAGCATCTTGAGATTTTATTCTAAAGATCTTGGAAGCCGCAGTACTTTATTTGAACACATCATGGGAGCTGTTTACTCTAGTCGTCCGTTCTTGCTTGGTGGGAGAAAAGAAAAAGATACAATAATGGTAAAGAAAAACAACACGTATTGATTTGTTGGGCGCGTAGCAGGTTTTTCGACTAGCAGAGATGGGGGCTGAGGTGTAGCGGTGTGGAAATGAGATTCAGTGAGGAAAACGGGGAACAGATCCGAAAGCTTAAGTGTGTGACTCTGTATAATTCTGTCCGTTTGTCAACTTGCAGCAAAGTCGTACCAGCTGAAGCGCTTGCTCCATTCCCAGAAAGGTCCGGCTGGCTCCAGCGAATAATTACTCTCACCAATTCGCTGACCTCGTAAATTGGAATCGATTGTCTCAAGAGACTTCTATCCCCTGTTCGTCCAGCTTTCTTTCTGGTCAAAACATCCTCCTGTCCGACGCCTCCACCGCC